AACCGCGGTTGACTACATGGGAGTCCAGTGACATAGCCATTATGCTAACTGTCCCAAGACCTATTTAATTTCATAATTCATAGTTTCATAGTTAGATAAACAAGAAAAAATATGCAATAGTATCTCTTTGAAATATCAATTTTTTTTTTTTTTAGAGTAATCAAGTCAGAGGACTATATGACTTTTATCTACCTAGAGAAGAACTATGGATCTACAATATGGAGACTGGACGATGGTAATTGTTTATTATGAGGGGGACTCAAAAATACAAATAAGGTTGCAAAGAAAAGAATGTAACACCCATACCGATGAATAAAAATATTGTAATTAAGGATGTTACACTTGCTATATATTCTGAAACAGTGTTCTGTTACTTTAGCTTAGATGCTAAGCTTAGATTCTTTAGTATCTCTTCAGAAGTAATTCCGTAATTACTAGGTACTTTTGTGACCTTACAAGAAATTTCTGTTCAGGGTTCCATAACTAAAGTATCATAGTAACCTTACAATAAGAGGTAGACCCTTGAGATCCTGAAAGGTAAAGATAATAAAATTTATTGTTTCTTTTTCAAGATGTTTTAAGTCTACTGATATATGATATCTTGAATCAGATCATAAATATAGAATTCTATCTGCTAAATTCTATCTGTCTTAATGAACTCTAAAATTAGGATTTCTATGCAAATCTCTTTAAGCAGTATGTTCTATTTACAAACCAAAACACACTTAAATTTGCCTTTCATATAAACTAGGGACAAACTGAAAAGATCTTTGCCAGTTTCACAGCAGTAGTCAAGAGCATGTCCTTGGTAGAAGTAATGTATTTTTCAAACTGCTGGCTTAGCCATGTTTGGGGATTTATAAAGTAGTATTCTGTGTGGTTGTTTTGTAAGAATATTTTTTTAATAATTATTTTTTATTTAACTTTATTTTTTTATGTGACCAGAGAGGGGGAGAGTGAGAGAAAAGAGAGAGAAAGGGAGAGAGGGAAAGTGAGAAAGCAAGCTGCCAGGTCTGGGACCCGAACTACGTCGGCCATGTGGGAGTCCATCGCCCTTAACCACCATGCCATCTACCGGCCCCTGTTGTAAGAACTTTAAACTTTAAATATTTTACTTATTGTAGACCTCAGAACTAGAATAATAGTCCCACTTCACTTAAAAATTAAACTAAAAATAAGTCAGGATTATTTCTGTAGATAGCAAATCAGTGTTAATTTGATCTGTTTGCTAATCTTTTTAAAAATAATTAGAAATTTATAATAGCATTTCCTTAATAGAATTTCACACAGATATTTATTGGGTTGTCAGAAAGGTCATGATCTATTTTTTGCATAGAAAAATACATCATGGCTTTTCCAACAGCCCAATAAATACATGAAGGGATGGCCACGCCGCAATCCCTTCTCCTCCATTCTCCTCTCAGGATCTTGGGCACACACACACGTGCCTGGCGTGAATTTAAGCCGCAGGGTCCAGGACTCGAACCGCGGTTGACTACATGGGAGTCCAGTGACATAGCCATTATGCTAACTGTCCCAAGACCTATTTAATTTCATAATTCATAGTTTCATAGTTAGATAAACAAGAAAAAATATGCAATAGTATCTCTTTGAAATATCAATTTTTTTTTTTTTTAGAGTAATCAAGTCAGAGGACTATATGACTTTTATCTACCTAGAGAAGAACTATGGATCTACAATATGGAGACTGGACGATGGTAATTGTTTATTATGAGGGGGACTCAAAAATACAAATAAGGTTGCAAAGAAAAGAATGTAACACCCATACCGATGAATAAAAATATTGTAATTAAGGATGTTACACTTGCTATATATTCTGAAACAGTGTTCTGTTACTTTAGCTTAGATGCTAAGCTTAGATTCTTTAGTATCTCTTCAGAAGTAATTCCGTAATTACTAGGTACTTTTGTGACCTTACAAGAAATTTCTGTTCAGGGTTCCATAACTAAAGTATCATAGTAACCTTACAATAAGAGGTAGACCCTTGAGATCCTGAAAGGTAAAGATAATAAAATTTATTGTTTCTTTTTCAAGATGTTTTAAGTCTACTGATATATGATATCTTGAATCAGATCATAAATATAGAATTCTATCTGCTAAATTCTATCTGTCTTAATGAACTCTAAAATTAGGATTTCTATGCAAATCTCTTTAAGCAGTATGTTCTATTTACAAACCAAAACACACTTAAATTTGCCTTTCATATAAACTAGGGACAAACTGAAAAGATCTTTGCCAGTTTCACAGCAGTAGTCAAGAGCATGTCCTTGGTAGAAGTAATGTATTTTTCAAACTGCTGGCTTAGCCATGTTTGGGGATTTATAAAGTAGTATTCTGTGTGGTTGTTTTGTAAGAATATTTTTTTAATAATTATTTTTTATTTAACTTTATTTTTTTATGTGACCAGAGAGGGGGAGAGTGAGAGAAAAGAGAGAGAAAGAGAGAGAGGGAAAGTGAGAAAGCAAGCTGCCAGGTCTGGGACCCGAACTACGTCGGCCATGTGGGAGTCCATCGCCCTTAACCACCATGCCATCTACCGGCCCCTGTTGTAAGAACTTTAAACTTTAAATATTTTACTTATTGTAGACCTCAGAACTAGAATAATAGTCCCACTTCACTTAAAAATTAAACTAAAAATAAGTCAGGATTATTTCTGTAGATAGCAAATCAGTGTTAATTTGATCTGTTTGCTAATCTTTTTAAAAATAATTAGAAATTTATAATAGCATTTCCTTAATAGAATTTCACACAGATATTTATTGGGTTGTCAGAAAGGTCATGATCTATTTTTTGCATAGAAAAATACATCATGGCTTTTCCAACAGCCCAATAAATACATGAAGAACTCAGGGCCAGGGCTGGCCTCATAGACCCGTGGTTAAGGGAGCTGGATCCCACATGGCTGATCACAGTTCAGATTGCGGCCTCAGTGCTTGAAAAACACACTGCATGCATGAACACGCCTCCCCAAAATGCTGAGAAGATGGAGAAAAGGGATTGTGCTGTGAGCACATCCTGGTGGGAGTCGTGCTTTCTCTCTGTCTCTCTCAGGTAAGGGCACATATTCTCAGGCAATTTAGAAAAAAAAAAAAGAAGAAAAAGAAATAAATTAAAAAAAAAAAAGCCTACCTAGATTTTAAGCTTAGCAAAGATCATGTTATATTATAACTGATAATGTGAGTAGATGACTTTTAGTGTATTATTAATATTTTGAACCTTAGGTTTCTATTTTTTTTTAACTCAGATTTTTAAATTCAGAATGAATTAAGACACACAAGCACTCAGAGAAGAGCCAGGCACATAGTTAAGCAAAACACAACTTAAGTGTTCATGGTATTATATATGGGACAGAATCCCATTCATTTGAATGGCTAAAAAAATGACTGACTAGGGACCAGCAGTTAGCGTAATGGCTATGTCGCTGACTCCCACGTAGTCAACCGCGGTTCGCGTCCCGGACCCGGTGGCTTAAAACTCACGCTGGGCGCGTGTGCGTGCGTGCCCAAGATCCCGGGAGGAGAATGGAGGAGAAGGGATTGCAGCATGGCCATCCCCCCCTGGGGGGTGATTTCTCGCTTTCTGTCTCTCTGTCTCTCTCTGTCTGTCTGGCAAGTGCACGCGCCCTATAGCAAAAACCTCTCAAAAAAAAAAAAAATGACTGAATATAAAACAGTCATTGACTTCATCTACCTGGCCTAGAAGTGTTGAAGTTTTCCTTTTAGGTTCCTGGCCTATTCAAAAACAAAGCAACGATTTGTGGCCATGTAAATAAAAAGCAAACCATTGAGGGGCTGGCAGATGGCATGGTGGTTAAGGGTGTTGGACTCCCATAAGGCCAACCACGGTTCAAATCCTGGACCTGGTGGCTTCTTTTCTCACTTTCCCTCTCTCTCTCTCTGTCTCTCTCTGGTCAAACTGGAAAATAATAATACATTAAAATTAAGATAAAATAGCTCTTTTTGAAAAAAGCAAACAGTTGAATCTGAGAAACATAAGATAGCAATTCCCTAGAATAATAAGACAGATAGGACAGTTAGGCTTTCAGAACTTCTGTCCTGCTCTGCATCGGACCAGCTGGAAAAGAGAATGAATTCCTTTCATTAATTTTAGAGCTAGTAGAGCCCTCAGACATGATCTAGGCAGTCCTCTCATTTCCCCCCCTTTATTGTGGAAATATAAGTAGAAGAAAAATTAACACGTTTTTTCCATTTATTTTTTGGAAATATATTTATACTCAATTTCCACTTCTCTCTGCCCCCCTCCCTCAGGAAAAAAATTAATACTGAAGGTGATGTCCCTCCTTCTATGTCAGGAAGCTGTGCTGTGTGTGTAGACAGGGTGCTGTACTTGTTTGGAGGACACCATTCCCGAGGCAATACTAACAAGGTTAGTGATTGTAAGGAGGATGGGTCAAGGCGATGTTATCGTGACTCTCTCTCACACACCTCGTGTTTTCTAAGGTTAGCCCTATACTTACTGTATTTCTGTCCCGTTTTAAAAATACAAAGGGACTTCAAAAGGTTCATGGGAAGAGGAAATTAAAGGACAAGTTTATTCTGGGGCGACATTTTTTTTTAAATCCATGCACTGTTCTGTATTTTCCATGAACTTCGGAAGACTCCTCGTGTAGCACTTGATGGTACGAATGTCACGAATGTTACTGTGCCTGCCAGTATTTCCCTATGTCTTTTATAAAATCAAGTTTTGCTGGTGACCTGTGTGTAATACCTTCTGAGGCTGTTTCTCCGTGTGCTCTTTGCAGCTACTTTTTGTCTTAGAACCCTCGGGTAGAACATTAATAAACACATGTCAAGAGGACATTACAGACAAAATGAGGACTCAGTGTAATCATGGGAGGAAAGTTAAAAATGAACAGAGCCTCACTTAGCCTTAAGGATAAGTTAGCTCTGATAAACATGTTTATATTAACATCTATATAACATGATGCCCTAGGACACTCTTGTTCAGACTTTGTCTATTTTTTTTTTTTTTCCAAAAAGGGAAAAGCTATCAGTTGTTTCGGCCAATAAGAGACCAATGAAGTTGGTCAAAAAGGTTCATATAATATAGGCAGACACTGTATCAACTCATGTATTATATGCTGAGCACTTGGTTGGACACTGGAGTTACAGATGAATGATAAAAGTTCCTGCCTCTGGGACCAGCAGATGGCATAATGGTTCCATTGCTGGACTCCCACATTGTCGATTGTGGTTTGAGTCCTGGACCTTGTGGCTTAAAACTCATGCTGGGTCCGTGTGCATCCATGCCCAAGATCCTGAGAGGAGAGTGGAGGAGAGGGATTACAGTATGGTCATCTCCCCTGGAGGGTGATTTCTCGCTTTCTGTCCATCTCTGTAGCTAGTGCATGCACCCTATAGCAAAAACATCTCGTAAAAAATAGTCCCTGCACTCTCTTAGTAGAAGGGACACAACTAATAAGTAAATGACTACAGTGTCATTGGAGAAATACACAGAGCCTGGCACATATTAACGACTCAGTAAATAACTACTGAATCTGAAAGTGTCCTTGACATTGTGTTTGGCAGAATAAAGGGGTTGAACAAGGAAAGTCATTACCAAAAAAGTGATGCTTGCATTGAATAAAATTGGAAGAGGTAACCAATTGCCAAGATGCAGACATATAAGCAAATGTGCTTAGCTCATGGGAATGCTAAGAGGCCTGTAGCTAGAACGTATGGCTGAGATAGTTTCGAACTGTGGTGCTGTAAATTCTAGGGATTTCTTTGATATGTCTTGGGACATTGTGGGAGGACTCTTAGGTGACCTCCAGACTGCTTCCTTCCTCCATTTAAAAAAGTGTAGCTTTAGGGCTGGCAAGCGGCATGGTGGTTGGGGTGCTGGATTCCCATATGGCTGACCGCAGTTCAAGTCCTGGACCTGGTGGCTTGCTTTCTCACTTTCCTTTTCTCTATATCTCTCTCTCTGGCAAAATTAAAACATAAATAACAATAAGTAAATAAATAAGTAAAATAATTATTTTTAGAAAAGGGTAACATTAATGGGACAAAGAAATGTGGTATTATCTGTTGAAGATAATTTATAGTTTTATCAACTATACTAGGGAGAAATGTTCACCTGTTGAAATATCCATTTTGTAAGCCAAATAATGTGATTGAATGTATAAAAGAAAATGAAATAAAAAATTTAAAGAAAAGGGTAGCTTCACTTATATGTTGGGCTTTTGCTTATGATTTTGTTGGAAAAAAGGATGCCTAAGAGATGTTGTGAAACACATCTACAGACTATCAGTGACCCATGGATTTTTCAGGGCCAAAGAGGAGCAAAAGCTAAGTGACTCAGCTCAGGGAAACATAGGAAGGAGAGAAGCTGTGGTTTTGTGGGGTGGTCACGGCAGTAGTTAATATGTCAGGTGATTAGGGTTGAGTGTTTTAAATCTGAAAGGAAGCTCGGGCGTCTTGGAGAAGTAACAAATAAACAAGAATGGTCAGATACTCAGTTACCTGGATGTGAACCTTTCAAAAGACAGACCAATAGTTAATCTTTTAGGTACTGATTCTGAGCTCCTGTTGTTAAGCAGGCATGAAAGATGTGTGTGTGAAACTGAATGTGAAGATAAAATTCACTAAACGTTATTGTAGTGGTATTCACATCCTGGTACCCTAAATTAGATCAGCACAGCTGAAAAGCACCTTTCTCAGGCAAAACAAGGAGCTTGTGCTAGAATGTAAACGAACATACTGCTTATTCCTTCATCCAAAAAGTGTAGCTATAGAAAAAAATGGAGTCAAAGCTAACAGTGTGCTTAAAAACTTAGGAAATTAATATTTTGTCACAAATTCCTAACCTGGATTCAGACTGGCAGCCAATCTGTAGTCACAATTGCAGTAGCAATGAATTAGATAACACTTTTATTATCATAAATCACAGCACAGTTCATTGTTAAAGTTGGATTTCTTTCATATAATTAAATCTAACTGAAAATGTCGTTTCTGATAGTTCTACATGCTGGATACAAGGCCTACAGACAGAGTGCTGCAGTGGGAGAGAATTGATTGCCAAGGAATTCCTCCATCATCAAAGGACAAACTTGGTGTCTGGGTGTATAAAAACAAGTGAGTGAGCTGCACATGGAAGTCTTGGGCTTAAGTGGACATTGGCTTACCATCAGGTAACCTCAGCCAGTAACTGTTAGACGCATACGTGGTATGCCTCCTGGGGCCCATGTGCTGATTGAGTCAATACATAAAAGTACGTGGCACAGCCTAGGTGGTGCGACGTGTGGTGTACTGGACTGCAGTGCTGGAAGCCACAGGGCTGACCACAGGCTCAGATTCCCACATCCGCCTCAAAACACAAGCTGTGCACAAGATCTGGGGAGCTGGAAGGCTGGGGAAGTGGGATCATGCTTGACATGCCTAGTGTGTTAAGCTGCTGGGCCCAGGATTTCAACTGCGGAAGGCCATGTGGCACCTGGCTCCCTTAACTCCTATGGGGCCAGCTCGAGTGTTTTTGTATGCTCAAATGTGCCTCCTCAACTCTTGTCAAGTGACCAAGTAAGAAAAATTCCTTGTGTCCTATCCTGTGGATATCTGGATTTTTAGTGTCTTTTTAAAATTTTTGTTATTTTTTTTTTTTTTATCAAACAGGTTAATATTTTTTGGAGGGTATGGATATTTACCTGAAGATAAAGTATTGGGAACTTTTGAATTTGATGAAACTTCCTTTTGGGTAAGTGAAGTTTCATATTTGTATATATCCTACTCAATATGCTCAAATAATATAGACTACATTTGTGAGTGGTCTTCATTTTGCCTTAATAAATTAGGCAGGTGTTATAATTTTACAAACATTATTTGTAAAATAACTCAGAAATTCTGATGTATTTTCTGTAGAATTCAAGTCATCCAAGAGGATGGAATGATCATGTACACATTTTAGACACGGAAACCTTTACCTGGAGCCAACCTATAACTACTGTGAGTTACTAAAGAGTAATGAACTAGTAAACCAAGGCTGCTTAGAAGGGGATACACCAGAGGTGGGAGGTCGTGTAAAATCACTTCATTCTTGCAGTTTTCTAGAGAGTGAAGAACCGTAGCTTTCGTTACTGCCCAAGGAGTCTAGAACTCAGAAAAGCTTATGAATGTGTAGAGAGACTAATCCAACATTGGTTCTCTAATAGATATAAACTAGTAGCTGCTTTTGCTTGTGATTAAGGAAACCTAACATTAGTTTGGAACCCAAGTTACTTAAATATTTTTTTGTGTGTCCCCTTTGACACAAATATTATACAGTGAGCTACCCTTCATTTTAATTTTAAAAACAAAGACAGTCATTCTATTTTCAGGCTGTTGGGAAAGTCATGACCCCCCCCCCTTTTTTAAGAGATTTTTCGCTATAGGGTGCATGTGCTCACCAGAGAGACAGAAAGTGTGAAATCATCCCCCCGGGGGAATGGACTGCCACAATCCCCCTTTTTCTTTTCTTTTCTTTTTTTTTTTTTGGAGAGATTTTCACTGTAGGGCGCGTGCGCTTGCCAGACAGACAGAGAGAGACATAGAGAC